CCTTGTATGGGACTGCAGCAAGGCATCTGCTTTGCCTCAAAGAAAAGCAAAATTGCTATAACTGAAATGGAAAAAGTCAATTTCAGCTATTTAAAAAAAAATTACAGGTGGTTTTGTGAATTAAAATATCAGGCCTGGGAAGGGGGAGGAGAACAGGGTCCTGAGCTAACACCAAAGCAATTGAGTCTTGGAGAGAAAAGCAGAGGAACAGGTTTGCTAGGCCCCTGACCCCAGGATCGTTGCCATTGGGGAGGGTTAGGGGTGGGGGAAAGGTCAGAGATGGAGGCCAGGAACCCTGATCTGGACATAACAGGGCCTGTTCAGGGGCATTCAACCTAGGGGGGATTGTATCAAGAGATCACCACATTGGTACCTCCTTGGTGACCCCCCCAATGTGTCACTCACCTTCCTCCTCAGAGTTTGCATTTATGTTCCCTCTGACTGGAATGTTCTTCCCATGGCTCATTCCCTCATTTCCTTCAGGTCTCTTCATAAATATCGGAGAGGCATCCCCTGACCATCCTGTCTAAACTAAGAGCTCCTTCCCCCATCACTACCGCATTTCCCTGATTCTACTCACCTTCCTACACATACAACAAGGGTCAAGGGACACACTGCCACCAGAGTTCCTGTCTGATTTCCTCTCTCTAACAAAAAATCAAAAGAGTAAGGAACAAACATACCACGGCTGCAATACTACTTATGTATCGCTCTCTATTCTAAAAAGTGCCACATACGCACTACAGGGAAACATTTCTATGGAAGGTAGAAATTCCCTTTTCAGGACCTCTAAAGGATGAAAGAAAACTTGAACTTGGAAATATTATTGCAGGTGGTAATTTTGGTTTTAAAAGAGCAGGTTGGGTCCTTTCGTCCCTTGGGAAGCAGTGGCCAGGTTTCACCCTGAGGGGTGCTAAGTCCACCCCCACTGAGACTGGGGCAGATTGACAGCAGAGGTTCCCCCATTCAGATTTCGGAAACAAAAATCACCTCTCTAGCAGAGGGCTGAGAAGCCATGGTAGTCAATGTTTTATTAAGTAGTCAACACTCTGTCTTCTTCTAATAGGAATATTATGTAAGTATAAGCATGCATAGTAAGCATGCATTCTTCCTCAGAAGAGAAAAACGTTTTTCAAATTTGAGACATTTTTATATACCTTTCTCCTAGAGAGAATCCCTCTCTTACTGTCTTATAAAAAAACAAATTAATTAATAATGTAAAGGTCCATCAGGGGAAAGGGACTCTCCCCATCTCTGGCCAAAGCCAGCATCGACAGGGCAGCCTGACTATTGGGAACATGCGGGTGAAAGAGATGCTTTAGTTGCTCCTTTGCTGGGGGTTGGGGGGGGACTTTCATGATGCTTCTGGCTTTTCTAGCAGAAGGAAACTCACCTGTGCTCCAAGACTTTGAGTCCTTCTAAACTGTTATATGTGAACCCATCTTATTTTTTTTTTAATTTTTTATTGTGGGTTGTTCAAAACATTACAAATTTCTTGACATATCATATTCCACACTTTGATTCAAGTGGGTTATGAACTCCCACCTTCACCCCATACCCAGATTGCAGAATCACATCAGTTACACATCCATTGATTTACAAATTGCCATACTAGTGTCTGTTGTGCTCCGCTGCCTTTCCCGTCCTCCCCCCTCCCCCCTCCCCACCTCTCCCCTCCCCTCCCCTCCTCTCTCTCTACCTCCTCCACTGTATAACCCTGAGGGTCTCCTTCCATTACCATGCAATTTCCCTTCTCTCTCCCTTTCCCTCCCACCTCTCATCCCTGTTAAATGTTAATCTTCTTCTCCTGCTCTTCGTCCCTACTCTGTTCTTAGTTACTCTCCTTATATCAAAGAAGACATTTGGCATTTGTTTTTTAGGGATTGGCTAGCTTCACTTAGCATAATCTGCTCTAATGCCATCCATTTCCCTGTAAATTCTATGATTTTGTCATTTTTTAATGCAGAGTAATACTCCATTGTGTATAAATGCCACATTTTTTTTATCCATTCGTCTATTGAAGGGCATCTAGGTTGGTTCCACAGTCTTGCTATTGTGAACTGTGCTGCTATGAACATCGATGTAGCAGTGTCCCTGTAGCATGCCCTTTTTAGGTCTTTAGGGAATAGACCAAGAAGGGGAATAGCTGGGTCAAATGGTGGCTCCATTCCCAACTTTCCAAGAAATCTCCATACTGCTTTCCAAATTGGCTGCACCGATCTGCAGTCCCACTAGCAATGTACAAGTGTACCCTTTTCCCCACATCCTCGCCAGCACTTGTTGTTGTTTGACTTCTTAATGGCTGCCAATCTTACTGGAGTGAGATGGTATCTTAGGGTGGTTTTGATTTGCATTTCTCTGACAGCTAGAGATGTTGAACATTTTTTCATGTACTTGTTGATTGACTGTATGTCCTCCTCTGAGAAGTGTCTGTTCAGGTCCTTGGCCCATTTGTTGATTGATGTGAACCCATCTTAGGTTACCTGGCCACTCACTGACCAGACTCAGGACCTTAACACCCCAAGGGATGGAGCCCTAATTCCTTACTTGGGTGGGACCAGACAGTACTCATATGCTCTGCTGCTACCTGTGGGGCTCACCTCTTTGTCCCAGGGGCTTATTACAACCCTCTAGATTAAAATTAAATAAACAAGCCATCTGGAGTCCAACCCTGTGTTGAGGCAGAGAGAGAAAAGTCAGGAAGAGAAAGACTGAAAGGTGCTGGGTGATCTTGCATGCCTGTTATCCCAGCCACTCACCACACTGAAGCAGGAGAAGAACAAATTCAAGGTTAGTCTCAGCAACTTGATGAGACTCTCATTTCAAAATTAAATAAATGAATACAAAGTAAATAAAATGGGGCTGGGAACATAGTTCAGTAGTAGAGGGCTCCTGGGTTCAATCCCCAGTACTGAAAAACAAAAACAAAAAATCAGACTGAAAGGTGAGCGGGGGGCGGGGGGGAATGAATCAAAGCTTCTTATCAAAGAGGGAGGCTCATTTCCATGAGTCTAGTAGGGTCACCCAGGATGTATTGGGGGAGATGATTTAGAATGAAAGCCTCCAGGTAGAAGGACAGCAGCTAGGGTGACAGGGGAGGAGAGCAGTGAGTGTCACAACAGTAGGGAGAGTGGGGAGAGCTAGTTCCATCAGGACAGGTCACCCTTGACTGCACAGGTAAGGCCAGCAACGAGAAGAAGACCATGGCAGTAAGTGGGAGGAAGTCAGGTGGGAAAAATGGCTGCCTCCGGGCAGGGAGAGCCACTCAGAGTCACACACCCACACGAGCTGAACTTGACTGCTCCCTCCCTCCCCACTGGAGATGTCCCCACTGGTTTAGTCAGCTTTTTCACTGCTGTGACTAAAAGGACCCAACCAGAACAACTGTAGGGGAGGAAAAGTTTATTTGAGGGCTCACAGTTTCAGAGGTCTTAGTCCATAGAAGGCTGGCTCCATTTCTCCGGGCTGGAGGTGAGGCTGAACATCATGGCAGAACAGTATGGTGGAGGGAAGCAGCTCACATCAAGGTGATCAGAAAGCAGAGAGAGACTCCACACTCCAGTTACAGATATATACCCCAAAGCCAAGCCCCAATTCCCACCTCCTTCGGCTACACCCACCACTTCAGTTACCACTCAGTTGATCCCTCAGGGGATTAAATCACTGATTGTATTAAGACTCTCACAACCCAATCATTTCTCCTCAGAACCTTCTTGTGTTGTCTCACATGTGAGCTTTTGGGGGACACCTTACAACCAAACAATAACTCTCATCTACTGCCCACATACTAGGTTCTCAGAGTTGGGAACTTTAGTGTTCTCCTCAATGTTGGGAAGTATCCAAGATTCTGTGAGGAAAGAGCAGGAATTCCTTAGAGGTAAAAGCTGAGACTTTCCCAGTACCAGGTCACCCAACAGGCTTGGGGACCTGGAGGTAGGGTAAATTGGGTTAGAAGAACCCACTGAAGTAAGACCTGGTTCTCACCTCCCTAGATGATAGGAAAGCCCCAAACAGGTGTAAGTTACCTTGAGAAGGACCTAGATCTTTACCAGAGGCAGTGTGAAAGGTGAGAATCTTTTTTAAAATAGATCAAATTCTTCCCTCTTTTTTTTATTCCTCAATACATTCATTTATTCATTCATACAACAACCATTTAAGGCCGGCTATGTGTCAGGCATTGTTTAAGCACCAGGAGATGCAGCATAATGTGGATTTTATCTTCCAGTAGGGAAAACAGCCAATAATAATAATAGCAGCAAATATTTACATGGTGTTTTCCATGTGCCAGTTCCTCTTCTCAATGCTTTCTGTGTATGACTTCACTTTATCCTAATTTATCCAGTAGGTACTATTATTATCCCAATTTTACAAACAAGGAAACAGAGGCACAGGTGGGCTAATTAACTTGCTCAAGTATGCACAGCTAATAGAGCAGAGCAGAGTTTTGAAGGAAGGAAATTGAATTTTGGAATATGTGCATTTAAATAATGTAGGTGAGTATAGGTGCAAGTATGGTCATGGTTATGGGGATGGGTGTGGTTGTGGGTGCTGAGATGAAGATGGAAATTAGAGAGAGAGACAAGAGACATCTAAGTATGTAATGATGTACCTCCTTAAAGGATAGAGACTGAAGTGGATAATGGCACAAGGGAATTGAAGTTCTTTTTTTATTTGTTCTAATTAGTTATACATGACAATAGAATGCATTTTGACACATTGTACTCATATGGAGCATAACTTCTCATTCCTCTAGTTGTACATGATGCTGAGTCACACGAATAGTTTAATCATGAGTGTACATAGGGTAATAATGTCTGTCTCATCCCTCATCCTTCCCATCCCCATCCCCATCCCCCCACCCCTCCCCTTACTTCCCTCTACACAATCCAAAGTTCCTTTATCCTTCCCCCCAAACTATGGATCAGCATCCACTTATAAGAGAAAACATTCAGTCTTTGATTTGGGGGGATTTGCCGCAGTCTGGCTGGGCACAAATGCCACAGTCTGGCTGGGCACACAATCACGAGCCACCACACAGCTTGTAGATTCAAACAGCAACTCTTTATTCCCGAACTCACACCAGCCGTCTACAATCACGTTCTGGGGAAATCCACGTTCTCTGCCCAAATCCACCCCCACTGGGCTTCTGTCTCCCAAAAAATACTGTCTGAATCCCGTGAGAACTCAAGGGGAACTCAGGCAGCAGGATACGCCCTATTCCCAGCAGGAATAATCTTAAACCTTAAACCTGGAACCTAAACAGGGAACGCCCTAAACTCGGATCCGCCTTGGTCCTTGAGCAAGGTCACCTACATGCAATGTCACTGCAAAATGTCCTATTTCCACGAGTCCTTCCACTAAGCAACATGGGGTACGCTGGCAAGGAAATTGTCATACCTACTTGGCTAATGGCTCCCAGCAGGGATTGGCATATTTCGCTTTATGTGATATTCTCTAGTTCCATCCATTTACCTACAAATGCTATAATTTCATTCTTCTTAAGGCTGAGTAATATTCCATTGTGTATATGTACCACATTCTCTTTATCCATTCATCCATCTGTTTAGGTTTTTTGGAGGAAGCCATTTGAGGGGGCAGATGGATAGATAGTTGTCCAATAAAGAAGTGGGGTAATAAATAGAAAGCAGTAGAGGAAAGGAGATTTAAAGATAGGGTGGCCACTGTAGGTGACCCTGGAGTCATCCAGGGCAGTTATGCAAAATCTGCTCAAACCAAGAGCACGTGTTACCATGTGTGAGCAGGCCCCAGGACTCATCAGCCAACTCCAGAAAAGACCTAGGGCTGGGAACAGTGGCTTCTCAGGCGGTCCTTGTCCTAAGGGCAGCTCATACCACAGCAGAGGCTACTGTGCATGCAGAGAATGTATCGACCACTGCCCCTCCTCAGCTGTGGGTCCCTTCCTCCCACACACGCAGCCGATGCCTCTGGAGAGGACAAGAGAAGGACAAGCAGAAACCCAAAGTCCAAAGGACTGAGACTTTGACAAAAATAGACTCCACATTTACCTCAAAATCCCATTTAAAACATTGAGTCTGAAGAAATTTACTCAATTGGTCTAAAATACAAGGCCTCCCAGGCATCCAGTGACCTTCTCTGACAGCATGCTGCCCCATAAAGGGGGACAAGTGGACACCAGGAAAATGCAGAGTGACTGTGTTCTCCACACAGTGGAGATGATCTGCTGCCCCAACTTTCAAACTCCACGTGGCCAGGAAAGGACACAGCATGTAGCAAACGGGAGCCAGGCAGGCCTTGTGCCTTTCTCTAAGACAGAGAGTCACGCTGGCCCAGGGGCTTAAGCACGGCAGGGGTAGAAACTAAATATACTTTATGTGCTTCTCAGGGAGGAACAAAAGCATTATTCATTTTTTTCATTATAATTTTTTAAAGCTAAAAGCATGATTTAGGAGAAGCCATTTGTGACATTGCTGCATTCAATTACCCAGCACAAATTTGGATAGGCCTGGCAGCTATTTCCAGGCTTCCAAATGTGGGTCATAAATATGCATTAATCAGAAAGGACAATGCAATCAAGTGGTTTCACATCATCTGTCATTTCTGTGAAGGGCACTTATTAGCAACTGCCTGTTCTGGCAGATTGGGTTTTTTATATACAAAAATTAAGCAGCCACAATCCCTACCCTCTTGAAATGTAAACCTGACAATGTTGAGTTGAACAATCACACGCTGATATGACAATTAGTCTCCATCCACCCCCCCCCCACCCCCCCCCCCCCCACCCTCGGATCCAGCCCTAGGAAGCTCTTTCTCACGGGCACCGAACATGGAATTCTGTACGTGCTATGCTCCCTACCTGGACCTTTTTCTAGATTAAAGTACAAACATGGAACATGGTGTTGGGTTACCTTCTTTCAGGAACTGAAAAGTGGGAAGTTGCTTTTCTTGTACATCAGGGAGGGGGGCCACACGGTTGGACACTTGGCCAATTCCCATTATTACATCACTTCTTTTCTACCAAACACCTCTGTATTCATCAGGGGCTTTCACTGCTGTGACCCAAATACTTAACACAAACAATTTGGAAGAGCTGGGTGCAGTGGTGCACGCCTGTAATCCCAGTGGGCTGAAGCAGGAGGATCACAAGTTCAAAGCCAGCCTCAGCAACTTAGCTAGACCCTGTCTCTAAAATATAAAAAGGGCTGGGGATGTGGTTCAGTCGTTAAGCACCCCTGTATTCAATTCCTGAAAGAGGAAATGTTTATTTTGATTTTAGAGGTTTCAGTCCATGGTCAGCTGGCTTAGTTGCTTTGGGTCTGAGGTGAGGCAAAAAATCACAGAAGGACATAATGCAGGGAGCTGCTCAGTTCACAGCAATCAGAAAGCAGAGGGAGACAGACAGCAAGGAAGGAGCCAGGGACAAGATATAGCCCCCTGGGGCACACCCCCAGTAACCTACTTCCTAGAATCATGTCCCACTACCTATCATTTCTACCACCTCCCAGTAGTCCATTGAGATAATTAATACATTAAGTGGATTAATCCACTGGTGAAGTTAGTTCTTGTAATTCAATCATTACTAAAAGCCTCACTTCTGAATATTGCTGCGCTGGGGACCTAGCCTTCAATGCACGAGACTTTGGAGGACTTTCCAGATTCAAAACATAAATAAAAATCCCCATTTTAATTTAGCATAGTAGTGTACCCAGCATTTTTTAAATTTACATAATATAGAGGAATGCATTACAATTCTTCATACACATATAGAGCACAATTGTCCATATCTCTGGTTGTATACAAAGTATGTTGACACCAATTCATGTCTTCATACATGTACTTTGGATAATGATGTCCATCACATTCCACCATCCCTGCTAACCCCCTGCCCCCTTTCTTCCCCTCCTACCCCTCTGGCCTATCTAGAGTCTATTCCTCCCATGCTCCCCCTCCCTACCCCACTATGAATTAGTCTCTTTATATCAGAGAAAACATTCAGCATTTGTTTTTGGAGGATTGGCTAACTTCACTTAGCATTATATTTTCCAACTCCATCCATTTACCTGCAAATGCCATGATTTTATTCTCTCTATTTTTTTTTTTTTTTTTTTGCTGAGTAATATTCCATTCTGTATATATACTACTTTTTTTAATCCATTCATCTACTGAAGAGCATCTAGGTTGGTTCCACAGTTTAGCTATTGTGAATTGTGCTGCTATAAACATTGATGTGGTTGTGTCTCTTGTAGTATGCTGTTTTTAAGTCCTTTGGGTTTAGCCTGAGGAGAGGGATAGCTGTATACCTAGCATTTATAAAAAGGCATTTCTCAGTATTACCTGCAGGTAGAGGTGGAATATGACATAGTTCTGACCAATGAAATGTAAGTGAAATCACCAGACAAGGCTTCTGAGAAAGCAATTTTTAAAAGGGCTAACTCGGTTGTCATTTAATTTTGCCATTTCAATCTACTGGCTTGGAACGCAGATGAGCTGCTGGGTGTACAGCAGCCATGAGCTGCTGGATGTGCAGCAGCCATCTTGTGACTATGAGGAGTCAATTAGAAAAAAACAGAAGCTGTATTTTAGGGGTGGCTAATCAGAATGATAGAAAGACACTAGGTTCCTTTGAAATGTTAAGAGAGGAAAATAAAATTGCTATTTGGTTAAGCCCCTGTCATCAGATTTCTATTACCTAATTCTTTTTTTTTTTTTTTTTTAAGAGAATGAGAGAGACGGAGAGAGAGAATTTTTTTTTTTTTTTAATATTTATTTTTTAGTTTTCGGCGGACACAACATCTTTGTTTGTATGTGGTGCTGAGGATCGAACCCGGGCCGCACGCATGCCAGGCGAGTGCGCTACCGCTTGAGCCACATCCCCAGCCCTCTATTACCTAATTCTATTTCAAATGAAATCCCTAATTGATTCTAAGAATAATATAGATGAGACTACATAAATTAGGGGACCACTGTGATTAGAGCTCAATTTTTGACAGTGTTTTCTTCCTTTTGAGCACCAGTAGTTTGCAGAGTTTGCAGCAATGTTAGCACAGTGGAGTTTTTGCCCTAATTCAATCATAAGCACTTAACAATCATGAAATGAGGGCCTAAGCCATATCAAATACAGTCTGGTTGTTGTGGGTTCAAGTTTCTGCCTCGTGGTGCTGATGTTCTTCAGGTTAGAGGAAGAAAAGGTGGATAAAGTGATGATGCAAAGGAAAAAAAAAACAGATTAAGGGGGTTAGACATGCAGGAGAGATGAGAGACACTGGCAGATGACACTAAGCCTTCACATAAGACCTCCCTTCTGCTATGCATCAGTCTGCTGGGCTACTACAACACAACACCACAGATTAGGTGTCTTAAAAAAAAGAAATTTATTTTCCATGGTTCTGGAGGCTCAAAGTCCAAGATCAAGGCACCAGTTAGTTTCTGCTGACCTTGAGCTCTCTCCAGGAGGACAACCGGGTGCACTGTTATCTATTGCTACATGACAAATTACCCCATATTTAGCAGCTTAAAGCAATGAACACTTATTATCTCACAGCTATTGTGGGTCTGGAATCTGGCTGCAGCTCAGCTCAGTGTCACTGGCTCAGGGTGTCACTGGTAGCCCCAGTCAAGGTGCCCTCGAGGGCTGGAGTCACCTCAGGGCTTGATGGAGGAGGATCCCCTTCCAAGTCTGCTCACATGGCTCCCGGTGGGGGCTCAGATGGCTGTTGGCTGCTGGCCTGAGACTTCTATTTCTTACCAAGTGGGCCTGTCCCAGGGCAGCTCACAGCACAGCTGCTTGCTTCCTACAGAACATGGAACGGGACAGAATGCGCGCAGGATGGAAGGTGGCTGAAATGGAAGCTGTGTTCTTTAACCTATTCCAGGGAGTGACATTACATCACTCTTTCTTAAGACTTTTTTTTTTTTTTTTTTAAGAGCCTTTTTAGATTCACAGCAAAATTGAGCAGAAAATAGGGGAGTTCTCACCACCCCCTCTCCCTCCACACACCAGCAATATCCCGCACTAGAGCGGTGCATTCGTTATAGTTGGTGAGAAACAGAAACTTCAGT